TCCCAGCCATAACCCCCCCTCCTCCCCCGACCCTCCCCACAGTTCCTGCACAGATAATCCCATTTAAAACAGAAGATGAAACCTGACGCTGCCGAAAACTGGACATTATTTTACAGTGGACACCAAACATCTGGAGCCTGTCCCCCCATAGGGACGCTGCTGTCAGTGCTGATGGGAGACGGAGTGCAGCAGGAAAATGAGAGTGGGGGGTGAGGGTCGGGGGGGGGGTTCTTTGTGTTTATGGGGAAAATAATTGTCTTATAAAAAACAAATTTCTGGTCTGAACAACAGCAGAACTCAGCATGAGTTTTAAAAATTAAAAACCTGGTCTTCAGTCCCTCACTTTAAAAAAAACCCATCAGATTAAACGCAGTTCTTTTTCCTCTGTCTGCTCAGAGACATTTCCGTCTCACTGTCCGTCCAGAGGATTTCGTAAACGTCTCTGCTTGTTTGTTTTTTTAAAACTGTTTCTTTCCTATACCTGACAGATTTTTAACTGTTTCTTTCCTATACCTGACAGATATTTGTACAATTTTGTCTTCTAACTATGATCCAGAGCCCTAATAATCGACCAATCACAGAGCGGAGAGTTGACAGTGAAGTGACAACTGAGGAGGAAGGAGTTTTTACTTAAGGATTTTTCAAAGATCCAACAGATTAAAAAAAAAATTCCATGTCATCATAACGTGGTCTACAGTCAGAACATCACTCACCAGGTCTGTGGACGTCAGCAGCTCAAAGTTCCCACTGATGAACCAGAACCAGGACCAGGACCAGGACCAGAGAAGTCTGTCAGCCCTCCCAGAGATAAGATCCCATGTGTGAGACAGAGAGGCAGCAGCTGTGGTCGACAGCCAATCAGAGACTGTCCTGCTGCTGCTGCTCCAGACTACAATCCACTCCCTCTCATCTCACCCTCCACAGGGAGGAGGACCAGTCAGAGATAAAACTGAACCAGAACTCCAGAGTCTAAAGTCTAAACCCTGGTCCGTCTTCACGGCTCCTGTTTTCTTCTTCTCTGTCCCGAGTGGATTCAAGTCCAACCTCTGACCAGAGGGAGGTGATCTCTCTCTCTCTCTCTCTCTCTCTCACACTGACTGGAGTCTGTTCACTGTTCAGGCTTCAGGAGGGTGGAACAGGAAATAGCAAATCCACTGCCATTGGCAGAGGCCAGCGGTGCAGCGGGGGCTCACGGATTAATCAGACTCTTTGTATTTTAATCTCACCATCGGGGGAATAGTGAAGGAGAAAAAGCTGAGCAGCTCAGAGTTTGTTTCTTCTTCAACAGGTGCTGTTGTTCTGAGAGTGAACACAACATTATGCCGTTGTTTTTTTTTTAACTTTTCCTTCGGTGGTCTGACAGAGAAACCACCTCAGACCTTGAACAGATAAAGTTGATTACTATTTTCTTTGCTCCCGTACATTGGCCCCTAGATGGGACCTGCCCCTGACTTTGGAAACCCCTGTTCTTCCTACAGTCATACAAACATGTAGGATCAGGTTAACAGTCGACCAGAGGTGTGAATGTGAGTGTGAATGGATCTTCATCTCTATGGTGACCCTGGTGACCTGTCCAGATTGTGACCCCGCCCTCGTCCGATGCCTTGACTTCCAGTTTGTCTTTGTCACTCCAGAACCATGTGTCTCAGATACAGGCCTGGTACTAATTCAGTCCTTCTAAAATTGGTACTTGTGCAGGAAGTGAGTTCTTGAAGTTTCTGGTGGAGTCGGTGACACACACACACACACACACACACACACACACACACACACACCCAGGCCGTGTTATGTATTGTAAAAGAAACTGTTTATGCGGTGGAGCCTGTGTAAAGTGCTATTCTCAGTCTGACTGAGTGTTGATGTGGCGCCCACTGGTGTTTCTGGGAAAACCACCACGTAGTCATTATGTGGCTGTTGTCATTCAGACGCTGCAGAGGTTTCATAAAAAAAACAAGTGACTAAAAACACGAGGAGGCAAAACAATGATCCCACTGCTGGGGTGTGTGTGTGTGTGTGTGTGTGTGTGTGTGTGTGTGTTCATCACAGCTTAATGTTGTTAAATGACAGAGCTGGTCAGAGTTCACACCCATCCTTACACACTGCTGGCTTTTATCTGAGCCAGCTGTTATGTCAGGCCCGTCCTCTTCCTGACGCTGCCTTCAGGAATAACATACCCCCCCCCCCCCTGAAAATTCCTCAAATTCCCTATCTGTATTTTGTGCATCTGGAAAAACCAGGAAAACACTCGGGCAGGGCAGTTTTCCAGGCAAAAACACTCTTGCGTTCCTTTCACCCACCCACTGTGGGTTTTCACTGGAGTCAACGTCGGAAGTGGTTTCTGTGAAGCGTTAATGTTTTTATGGACTCAGCTCCGCGATATTAACAAGAAAAAAAACTAAAACGGTTTCATTGTAACCAATATTTTTATTTTACACCATTGACAAGAAATATCATATAACAATGGCAGTTGACTGGCAAAAGAAAATGTCTGTGAACCTCAACCTCATCTCTCTCGTTAATTTAAAAAAAATATATATACATGTGTGTGTATTAAACTGTTGCAAACTGATCTATATACGTGTGTATTAAACTGTTGCAAACTGATCTCATGCAGTTTCTCCAAAAAAAAAAAAACCAAAACCCTTCAGATTCTTAAGAAAAAAACAACATCTGGACCAAAGTGAGTGAGACCATAAATTCTCCCGTGACCCGCGGTTTACTTTGTCACTTATCTCCAGTGATGTCCAGTCAAGTCAAAAACAAAAGACACAAACGTCTGTGTTTTCTGACTGTATCATTTTCATCTCAGGCAGCTGCCAAGACGGCTCATTTTTTCTTAGACAAACAGAGAAAAGAAGTCACTTGGTTTTCTTGGTGAACTCCTTCCTTCCTCCTCCCAGACTGGCAAAGTTTCGGACCCTGTGGATCCGGGCCAGCTGGCTCTGGATGGTCTTCATTATGTCCATGTGGTCAGGGATGTGGACGTAGCGGACGTTCCTGCCGGTGATAAACAGGTCCTGCAGCTGAGTGCGCCGACCGCGGCCGTCCTGGTACAGCACCTCCTCCAGGCGAATGTTCATGAAGGCGTCCACGTTGACCACACGTCCCCGCGCCGTGCACTCGTTCCTCATGTCCACCGTCGTCACCTGGCCCTGCAGACCCTGCAGCAGGACCACCATGCTGTTCTCTGCGATCGCACGCTCACGAATGGAGTTGACGACCTCGATGGGTGCTGAAGATGATGGCTGAGGTTCAGTTCCTTCTGGATCCATGATCTGCAGACGTCAGGACAAGCAGCAGGAAGATGAGAACTAGACTTGGAATCAACAGGAAAAAAATAAACATTTATAAAAATACTTTGTCTCTGAAATATCTATAAAAGCAACAATTTTCCATGTATATTGTATTTTTTTTTCTTTTGGTGTTTTTCTTCAAAATACTTTAAAATAAACATCTCTTTCATTTTGGCTGAGATTGTTTTTGCAACGTAATTACAAGACAAACCAGAGATTGTTGCAGATTTACTCATTGCTCTTACAGTGTGTGTTTGTGGTTCTATAATTGGTAGTTTTTTCTGGTGCTACTGGGAAAAACAGTGAGTGTGGAACTTGGACAACTTTTCCTTTAGAGGAAAAAAAAGTTAACATGAAATCGTGATTCGACTGATATAAAACTGTTTGTGTAGTCACAACTCTGGACATGTATTTTTTCGTTTAAAATTAAAACGTATAATTAAAAACGTAATGCTAATATTATATATTCAGCACTGAACATAAGCAATTTAAAGTAACCACAAAAATATAGTATATATAATTTTATGACGAAACCGATTCCTTTTCTTCTTTAAACGGAACTATGTTTCTAGAACGATATGTATTTGTCAGTTGAAACGCTGTCAAATAAAAAAAACACGCTTAAGGGACTTGTGTCAGGTGGGACACATTTCGAAGTTGCACATGATCCACCGGAGAACAGTATTTAATTTGGTCGCGCCGCTCATAAGTACGTTTGCACTTAACGCAAATAAGACTTCGGTTTACAGGCTACTACTATCACTACTACCAGTTTATCTCAACTCTGTGTCAATTCTGTTTCACTTTAGACGTCTAATGTAGAGACAGGACTATCTTTAATCGTAAGTAAGTATTGTAAGTCTCTGTAGCATTTAGCTTTAGCAAGAGCTACGTACACCTCTGCATATATCCGTACATACGTCGTGTCAGGCGGATATGTCGTGTAATTTTTTTTACCTTAATCTGGTAAATCTTAGTTTAATGTGCGAAATATATAAAATGAAGAGAAAAAAAGGGAAATATACTCTTCTTGGATGTCAACAAGTTGTTTTTTCCCGAACGTTCGCCATCATCGAGGAGGCGTACGGCAGCGCGATGATGTCACATCCTGCATGTGTTTTTATGGTAGGCACAGCGCTCTCTGCTGGTTACTTCTGATAAACACAACGTGAGACAAACAGATGATTGTGTTCGAACATTTAAGGACGCCATAAAGAATCCATTAAATCTTCCGTGCACATTTTTAAAAAGATGAAATTAAGATGTCAGCAGTGGAACTAACAATCACAATATATATATAACAGTCTAACAATTTAAAATAAAACAAAGTGTCCTAATATGGGACATAGCGCCACAGATCCATCATGAAACACTGTTATAACTATATCTTTAACAAGAATCACAGTTTATCAGTGCTGGGTGATAAAAGTACTGTATAATATAAAGTTCTCAGTTTTTCACCTCCAACAATACTGAGTATTGTTTAATACTAAAACATGAGTCTCATTTGGGTTCAAACTGTGAAGCTAAGGGTAAATAAAACATGAGTCTCATTTGGGTTCAAAGGTCGTCCATCATGGCCAGCAGGTCGTCTCCTTTACTACAGCTGTTGACTTCAGGATGTTCTTCCTGTTCATCTGTGAACTGAGTCACAATCCGGGCCAGTTCTGTTGCAGCCTGTTCATCCTGTAACGATAACGACAGAATAATAATAACTGTACGATAATGTTGACGTCATAATTATACATTTGTTGTTTTTCTCACCTGTGTGGCTTGAATTTTCACTATCCCAGACAACGACTCAGCCTCAGCTGGACTGTAATCAACACTGTGGACATAATCATCCAAGTTTAAGCAACATTTAAATATAACCTGTGTTTTATGAAGCCCTTTTTTATTTGAAGTATTTACTTACTAAATAATGTAAGAAATAACAATTAAATATTGTTAGCCACCAGTAGTGGGCGCCACCTCCTCATAACTCCTGTCATGTCATTCTGGCTGACCTACGGTCCACGACCCTGATGCTTTAATTTTTGAAAAAGCAGTTTGTATTCTTTAAAATATATTTAAAAAAAGAAGGTATAAAACTCACGCCTGCTCCTCCTCTTCATCCGTGTTAAACAGACTGATCTGGAACCTGGTTTCTGTCTTGGACTGGTTTTCTGGCTCCATGCTGCCCATCAGACGGGACAGAAGGTTCAACTCCTCTTTGGCCAAAAGGTTCGGAGGCTGGTTCTTCTACAGCACAGAGAACACGCAGGGAAGAAGGTAAGAAACAAGCAACACAATGTACAGTGGGCTAAAGCTAGCACAGAGCTGGGCGGTCCCACGGCAGCGTACACCCCCTCCTGACCCCAACTTTTTTTTAGCATCAACAAACCTTCAGTCTCTACTTCACTTCACCTCACTGCTTCTTCTCCTTTGTGTCTATGTTGTTTGAGTTGCACTACTGTCACCTACTGGTCGTATTTGCAACTATAAATAAATTACACAGTTTACACTTTGAGTAACTACTTCAATGCATAAATATTATAGTAATACAATTTAAATATGTACCTGTGTCTTTATCTTTATTGACACACTCTAAATAAACATTATTATAATATTAATAATAATCCTCTTAAGAGTAACTCATTAATGTCTCAGTCAGCAGACACCTGGACAGAGGACGTCTTCTGTGTCAGTGTCTCCTCCAGGTGGTTGACAGAGTACCTTCAAAAACACATGACACACAGGGGTTAAATACACAGTGAGGTCATGCATAGGTATGTGTGTGTGTGTGTGTTTGAAATGACAGACATGTTCAGGCCCAGAGTGATGACTCTGTCTCCTCGCAGCTGAAAACAGCCCTGTCTGACGGAGCTGCTGTAGCTCCCTCCTGTGGAGAAGTGTCTTTTCTTCACCTCGCGACCTTTCCTGTCAAACATTCTGTAGAAACAGGAGGGAAATTTTTTTTGACAATGTGTTAACATTCCGGAGTGTTTACGAGAATTCTGTTGATGATTCTGAGAATATCTTTTTTAAGAACTGTCAACTGAACCCCTATAGGACATTAAAGGGAATCGATTTGCATTAATCGTTGCTTTAAGGCTTTAAGGCTTTAAGGCTGCTGACAGCTGCCTCGTTTGAACCAAGAATACAAACATGATATTTTCATACATTTTGAAAAATACACAGGCCGAAGTTTTTATCAGCAGTTTATGATTCATTTCTGCCACTTTGTCTTTCTGCAAATGACTGTGATTCTTGTGGAGGCTGAAGTGGAGTTTAAAAACCAAAAATTCTTAAGGAGGTTCTGCATTCACCGTGCGCTGTAATCATGAGTTCTTTACCCGTTAAACGTGCCGTATTTGATATTATGACAAAGTTTTTCATGAGAGTGATTTTATGTTAATGAACTTTACAACTTACCATTGTGTCTTTTAATTATTTTGTGGCCATAATACTTTGCGATCGCGATTGGAAATACTATAAACGTGTTTTTGACGCTGCCTTCGTTTTATTGCCCACCTAAACATCCCCGGAACCTCAGATCCATGAGGAACTGGACCTGAGGTGGGAAGAACGAATCGTCCGTCAGGGTTTTGGACTCGGGCCTTGAGAAAAAACGCCACCTGAAAAGCAAAAAGGATAGTAATTACAAAATAGGACTA